CGAAGGACCGGCAGCTTCGAGCAGAGGGTGCCGCGGAGACTCAGGCACCGGTGAGCTGCCCACCCGGCGAGAGGGACGATGGGTCGGAGTCGGACGCAGAGCAGGTCGGAGCGGAGTCGGCGCTCCCGGGCGTCCAGGAGCTCGCCACCCTCGTCGAGAGGCGCTCACCTGCCGGTCACTGGAGGGCCCCCCCAGGCCCGCCCGAGAAGGAAGGGGGCGCGGGGGCCAGAGGGGGACCACGGGGGAGGCACCCGGGGACGCCCGGAGAGGGTCGGGGGGCGCGCGGGGTGGAGGGCAAGTAGCTCCGGAGGGTTGTGGGTCCCGGGCCGCCTCCGCCGCTCCTCACCTGCCCAGCGCCCGCTTCATGCCTGCGTCGGCGGCGCAGCGCGGCTCGGCCGGCCCGGGGCCCGCCAGGTACAGGTTCTGCTTCAGGCGGCAGTCGGCGTCCAGCGCCGCGGCGGCCGAGCCGGCGGAGGACGAGCCCGAGGCGGCGTGGCGCTCATGCTCCAGGGCGACTGACTCGGTCCGCTTCCTCATCCCGTGGCCAGCACCGCCGGCCTCACCCTCGCCCCGGGCCTCGCCACCCGCCGCCGCTCAGGGGAGCAGCCGCTCAGGTGAGCCACCACCGCCGCCGCCGCTTGGAGCCCGCCGCCCTGACGTCCCTGCCGGCCGGGGTCGGGGCGGGGCCGGCGGCCTCCCTGCGCTGATTGGCCAGCGCTGAGTGGCTGTAGGCGGGTACGCCGGCCGGGGCCCCCTACCCGGCGCCCGGCGCGCCCAACATCCCCAGCGGCGATCGCAGCCATCTTGGACACGGGCAAACGAAGCCGCAAGGCGCGTCACCGTTCGGGCGCGGCTGTCTGGCGGAGTAGCGCTGGGCAGGGGTCGGGCTAGGTCAGACACGAGGCCGCCTGGTGCCCACTGCAGCGGCCCAAAGGGTACTCCGCGCATATCCCCGGCTCTCTGACTCCCCCCAACAGTGGAAACCCCCGAAAAGGTTTTATAAGAATTTACACAACAAAAAGAAAAAGGTGACATGACAATTCTGTCCTAATAATGATTTATAACTATTTTCCCACAAGGACTTTTCTTTAAAAAATATGTGATCTGGTAGTTTTGTTTTTTAATTTGAAACAGAAATGTATAGATATTTCTTTTTTTTTTTCTTTTGGGCCGAACGTTTGAAAACTGAGCTGCTTAAAATTTTTACTTTTTTAAAAAAACAGTATTAGATTCTAGATTTTTATAAAGCAGAACTAGCTGTTGGGGGAAGAATCCATTTCACAAATTCCCACTTGTGAAACACAAATTAAGTACTAATTCAACCCATCCTAAAAACAGAAAGGAAAGAGCAGTTTCACCTATTCAGTTTTATAGCTTTGGCTTTCTTTAATATGGCATTATTTTATTTTTTTTACAAATGATGTACAACCAAGAGATTCGCTTATTTATTCCAAAGTAACTTGTAATTTCAACATTTGTGCCAGTGAAAACTATTGGCAACTGATAACTTAAGATCAATTAGAAACGTCTTTAGAAATTCAATAGCTCCTTATATTAGCTTTGTAATGATACTTAGAAATTGCAAAAGAATTTCACTGACCATATTACTAAATATCACAACCAGCATTCATATTTGTCCAAATATACTTTTGGTGAATTCTTTAAAGTAATGTAGAAGCACATACTGGAGACTGGGAATCCAGAAAATAAAATGTAAAACATTTTTTTACTCTATCACTCACTAAATCCTTTCCAATCAATAGAAAAACAAAAAAGCTAGGAAGGGAGGGCTGGAAAGAAGAGAGTAAGGGGTACTGAGTCTTTCTTGCTGGTATTAGGCCTTGCTCCAGTCCTCAACTCTTGGTCCACACTCACTCTATAAGTAATCTTATCCAGGCTCTAATCTTACCCAGGTCACCCTACAATGGGGACACCTACATTTGTATCTCCAGTCCACACCTCTTCCTTGAACTCCAGGCTCCTCTATCCAGTGGTCTACTCATCCACTCTGACATCCAACAGGCACCTAAAATCATGTTCAAAGCTGAGCTCTCAGCTCTTCTCCCACCCCAGCTCCATCCATAACCTTCCCCACCTCCAGAATGCTCCCAGCTCCATCCATAGCCTTCCCCACCTCCAGAATGCTAAGTCCATCCTTACAGTTCCTCAGGCCAAAGCCTTTGAGTCATCCTTGATTCCTCCCTTCTCATGACACAGAAGGTCTATCACCAAGCCTGGTCAGCTTTCCTTTCAAAATCTATCCAGGATCAACCACTTCTCACCACCTCCACCATGGGCCAAAGTGCCATAATCCCTCACTTGGATTCTTATAATAGCCTAAATGGTCTCCTGCCTCACTTCTGTCTACTTAATCCAGTGGCCACAAAGGTCTTTTTAAAAACTCTAGATCCAGTTCTGTCACTTATTTGCTCAAAACACTTCAATGGCTCCCCACCTCGTGGAAAATAAAACCGAAAGCTTATGAAATGGGCCAACGGGCCTACTTGACTTGGCCTCAGCCACTGCTCAGCCCTCACTCTGTTCTCAGCCACCAGCCTCTCTCTAGCTCACCCTGCTCCAGTATCACTGCCTCCTTGCTGAGGCAGGGGCCCCAGGGTGTGGGTGGCATGTACATGAGTCATCATATCCACATGGCTAACTCCCTTCCACTTTAGGTCTGTGCCTTCTCTGAACACTAACTCGAAACCTTCAGGCCCTCTCACTGTCACAGTTCACCTTCCCTGACTTACACTCTTTTTTTTTTTAATTTTTATTGGAGTATAGTTGCTTTACACCATTGTGTTAGTTTCTGCTGTACAGCAAGATGAATCAGTTAGAGGTATACATATATCCACTCTTTTTTAGATTTCCTTCCCATTTAGGTCACCACAGATCATTGAGCAGAGTTCCCCATGCTAAACAACAGGTTCTCATTAGTTATCTATTTTATACATATATGCCCTGACTATTTTATACATATATGCCCTGACTTACACTCTTCTTAGCACTTTTCACCAATATATTTGTCATCAGTATATCTGTATCTGCGTATTGCTGTTTCCCACACTAGAACTTAGACTCTGACGGCAGGGACTTTGCTGCTTTATCTTCAGTGTCTAGAACAATGCTGAATATGCACTTCATAAATATCTGCTGAAGGAATAATGAATCATCACAAACCCCCAGAAGTGGGTACTACTGCCCCCACTGTATAGGTAAGGAAGTGAGTCTCAGGCCTGAGGTCTGAAATTGAAAAGGTTTATGGCAAAGAAAGGTTGTGGATACCGGTGTTCCTTGGATTACACTATAGAATTGTGTATTTGATAAAAACACTTAGCTAAATTATCCATTACTGTAGAGCTGGGAAGGAAAGGTCACTCAACGTAAGGATAAGATTCAGAGGCTTCGTAGACCATTCCCAGGCTCATTTCTCAGACCACACATCTACTGTATCTATACTTGCAAAAGAGGAACAAAGTTTCTAGGGTTAGATAGAATGGATCCAAGTAACGTTGTTTGTTTATTTTATTTATTTATTGGCCGCTTGGCATGTGGGATCTTAGTTCCTGACCAGAGATGGAACCAGCGCCCCCTGCAGTGGAAGCGTGGATTCTTAACCACTGGACTTCCAGAGAAGTCCAAAGTAACACTGTTTTAAAAAAAAAAAGAAAATAGCCACGGGAATTCCCTGGTGGTCCAGTGGTTAGGACTCTGCGCACTTCCACTGCAGGGGGCATGGGTTTGAGAACTAAGACCCCGCATGTCACATCGCGGGGCCAAAAAAAAAAGCCAAATAAAACGAATTGTTTCCATAGCAGTAATTCCCACCTTTGATTCTATATGGTTATGAAAATTTCCGTCATCATCTCGGCGGGAATATGGCTATGTGTATTCATGTTAATCAAGGGCAATCCCCAACCACCACCTTGTGAGTTATTGTACACGTTTTTAAATGACTGATTTAATATCAAATGTAGTACGGTGGAGTTGAAGGCTTAAATACAGGGTCTGTCACTTTACGAACTGTGTGATCTTGGGCAAGTTCTCTAACTTCTGTTTTCTAATCAGTACCAAGAGTCTTAATAACCACTTTAAGGATAATCGTGAGAATTAGGTGAAGTATGTCACAGTCCCTAGCACACAAGAGATACCCAATAAAAGTTGTTTTCCCTTTACCATCACACAAACAAACCCACACTGCAAAACCGAACAGACGCAACGCTGGGTGCTAACATCACTGCACACCTTTGCCGGGTCTGCCTTCTAGACCGCATCGTGCGCGTCCCCGTTAACCTAAACGAGAATGAATGAATCCAACGGAAAAGGGGACGTACGTCCATCCCGAGCTGTGCTGCGCGGGAGCTGTCCTGCGGCTCAGCCTGAGCTCAGACCAAGGCCTGGACAGGAGGGCTGGGCTGAAGCCACACCAAGGTTCGTAACCGCCCAGGTGTGGGGCTTCCTGTGGCACTGCGGCCGCAGAGCGGAGGCAAATGTCCCCTGGCCGCCGCCGTAGCCTGGAGGCCGGCAGTGCGCTCCTATTGGTTGCGCGTTTGGGCGCCAAAGCGGGGCGGAGGCGGGGTCGGCCCAGCGCGTCGCGGACCTGTAGGAGCTGAAACCGTAGGGCCTGGTTAGGCGGCCGTTTGACTGAGAGCCGGTTGTCTGTAAGGGCCGGCGCGACCACCATGTTCTGCGACAGGGCCATGGAGCTGGTCCGCGAGCTGCACCGCGCGGCCGAGGGAAGGCTGCCGGCCTTCAACGTGAGGGCGGCGGGCGGGCGGGCGCCTCCCAGGGGTGGCTTTTCTGGGGACTGCGCAGCCGGGACGGGACGGCGGGTGTGCCCGTGGTTCTTCGCGGTGGATGTGGCCGGGTTGGTTTCTGCGGCTTCCCGCGCGCGGTCTGGACGGTCGGCGCCTCGCCCCGGTGACGCGCCGGAGAGGCCCGGAGACGGGTGCTGGAGCGCAGGTGTGAGTTGCACTGGGGAGGTGTGGACCGGGGTAGCGGGGCGTTAGGGCCGCGCCTGGGAGGATGCGGTGAGCGCAGCCCCGCCGGGGAGCCGGCGGTGCGGACACCCTCTCCCCGCCGGCGAAGGGCGACCGGCGCTGGGTGCGCGGGCCGCACGGGGGCTCCGGGGCCGGGAGGTTTGCTGTTCACTCACAAGGCATTTCAGGGCAGCGATGGGGTAGCTCTTCGTGTTTTGAAGATAACTGTGGCGGCACTTTGGGGAATGGATCGAAGAGAAGAAAGAATGGCTCTGGGTGGTTACAGTAGACCACACGAAAGCTGTGTAATGGTCCGAACTGCCCGGTCAGCGGGTGCTGAAAGCCGTGTCCTGAGACAGCAGGACTTGTAGCTACGGCTGGAGATGGGATGGATAGTGGGAGAGGAGAGGGGTCGGCATCTCGGGAGGCTTCTTTCTCTGGTAGCGGAATAAACATCGGAGGTCAGCAGGAAGAGTGTTTGGGGAAGGTGAGTTTTGTTTTGAACATTAAAGAGCAGTTAGTTTGACACTTAGGTCATTTAACGGATGGGGAAACTGAGCCTCGGAAATTATGGATCCAGTTAAGCAACTTGCCTGAACTTGCAGCATATTGGAGCCAGAGCCTCAATCTGAATACAGGTTTCCTAGAGTCCAGTCTGTTGTTCTTGCAACTTCAGACAGTTACTTCATCTAAAAAGTTAGGAGACCACAGTGGGAGGTTCAGTAGAGACGCTGGAATGCAGAGGGGTGGAGGCTGTCAAATGTGGCCCCTCTGGGGTCGGAAGACTAGGTCCTTTGGGGGTCGTGGTACATGGGAGGAAACCAGCCCAAGGGCTCAGAGACTGCCCACGGTGCTGGCTATTCAGACCCTTAGTCCAGCTCTCTTTTTCACTCACATTTTAGGATAAGTGTTGGTTTCGCACTTCGGGGTGGGGGGCTCAGGGGCGGACTTAGAAGTTGTGAAATCACTCGCTTTTCTGGGTCTTAGTTGGCGGAGGTGCACCTTTTCTTGCAGTCGTGCCTGCCTTCGAGGCCGGCCACTGGCACAGCTGAGCTGAGACCAAGAATTGATCTGATTGACCCCACACACTCTTGACCACACAGACTTTCAAGAATTATTCCTTCCAGGCAGATGATGGCTGGTTTAGAGCAGGGACTCTGCCTTGTTCATTCCATAATCCCTCATGGTTAGGTGCTGTGTTCAGCCGATTGGAATGATTATGCACTTTCTACATGCAGAACTGGTAATCGTTTAAGTGAGTTTTTAGGAAAATTATTTTAGGTATCTTTAAAAAGTTATTTCACACTTGTCTTTTGTATACCTGCTGATCTACTAATTGTGCAAGAGTTTCAACTATTCCTTAAAACAATATTTGTAATAAATGGAATATTTAACTGAATTCTAATAAATCAGACTTTTCTATGATCTCTTTTAACCAGCTGATGAAAGAAAAGGTAGAAATCATGCTTTCATTTTTTCATCAAGAATCATTTCTTATATTCAAGCAGGGTTAAGTAAAGTGTAATTCTGTAATTATACCAGTAGTGCCAAAGCACTTTTGCTAATGCATATATTTTGGCTCTAAAAGTAGATGGGTTACTTATCTTTGTTTTGTTTTGGGTGGGTTTTTTTTGGTTGTTGTTATAGCATTAGTGGTTTTTTTCTCCTTTTTAAAAAGTTTTCAATTGAAGTATAGTTGGATTACAATGTTTCAGGTGTAGAGGTTGCTTGTTGACAGACTTATTGTGTGACATTTATGAATTTTATAATTCTAATGTTTTTATCCTTCCAAGGGAAAATTTTGTGTGCGTGTGTGTTTTATATCTTTATTGGATTGCAATTGCTTTACAATGTTGTGTTAGTTTCTGCTGTACAACAAAGTGAATCAGCTATATGTTTACATATATCTCCATATCCCCTCCCTCTTGAGCCTCCCTCCCACCCTCCCCATCCCACCCCTCTAGGTCATCACAAAGCACCGAGCTGATCTCCCTCTGCTATACCGCAGCTTCCCACTAGCTATCTATTTTATACATGGTAGTGTATATATGTCAGTGCTGCTCTCTCAATTCGTCTCACCCTCCCCTTCCCCCTCTGTGTCCACAAGTCTGTTCTCTATGTATGCATCTCTATTCCTGCCCTGCCACTAGGTTCATCAGTACCATTTTTCTAGATTCCATATATATGCGTTAAAATATGGTATTTGTTTTTCTCTTTCTGACTTACTTCACTCTGTATGACAGACTCTAGGTCTGTCCACATCCTTACAAATGACTCAATTTCGTTCCTTTTTATGGCTGAGTAATATTCCATTGTATTTATGTACCACATCTTCTTTATCCATTCATCAGTTGATGGACATTTAGGTTGCTTCCATGTCCTGGCTGTTGTAAATAGTGCTGCAATGAACATTGGGGTGCATGCATCTTTTTGAATTATGGTTTTCTCTGTGTATATGCCCAGTAGTCGGATTGCTGGGTCATATGGTAGTTCTATTTTTAGTTTTTTAAGGAACCTCCATACTGTTCTCCATAGTGGCTCTATCGATTTACATTCCCCTCAACAGTGCAGGAGGGTTCCCTTTTCTCCACACCCTCTTCAGCATTGATTGTAGTTTTTTGATGATGGCCATTCTGACTGGTGTGAGGTGATACCTCATTGTGGTTTTGATTTGCTTGTCTGTAATGATTTGCCTAATGATTTCTCTAATGATTTGCTCAAGTAGAAAAATTCCTTTGACCTTTCTATTTTCTATTCTAGCAGTGGGATTTTTTTTGGTAGTAACCTTTTAAGATCATTTTCCAGTAAATAATAAATTATTTATGTACTTTTGTCATGCATTATTGCTTCTGTAGGGCTATTGATTTTTTTTGTCAATAGTTTTATCGAGGTATAATTTATATACAACAAAATACACATTTTAATAGACATTTGAATTTTGACAAATGTATACAATCCTTATAACCAGCAACCCAATCAAGATTTCTGTCACCCCAAGGATTCCCTTTTCTCTTTTGTAGCTACTAGCTACCTCCCATCTGCAGCCTTAGGCAACCATGGATTTTCTTTCTGTGCTACAGATTATATTTGTCTTTTTAAATGTATTTCTGGAGTCAACATGCTCGGAGTTGCAAACTTTTCTGGACGGGGCCAGTTGGAAGCATACAGTGTATACTCCTTTCTGTCTGACTTCTTTTCTCAGTACAGTATATTCAAGATTATCCTTAATCAGTATGTTAATTGTGTATTTTGTGTTAGTAATTCATTTCTTTTTATTTTTTTAAATTATGGTAAAATATACATAACTTAAAATTTGCCATTTTTAAGTATACACTTCAGTGGCATTAATTATATTCACATTGTTGTGCAACCATCACTCTTATTTCCAAAACTTTTCATAACGCCAAACAAACTCTATAACCTTTAAGCAGTAACTCCCCACTCCTCTTTCCCCTCAGCTCCTGGTAACCTCTAATCTACTTTGCCTCTGTGAATTTGCCTGTTTCAGATAAGTGGAATCATACAATATTTGTCCTTCTGTGTCTGGCTTATTTCACTAAGCGTAATGTTTTCAAGGTTCATCCATGTTGTTGCATGTATCAGTACTTCATTTCTTTTTTTGGCTGAATAATATTACGTTGAATGGATATACAGTATTTGGTTTATCTGTTCATCAGTTGGACATTTGGGTTGTTTCCACTTTTTGGCTGTTATGAATAATGCTGCTCTGAACATTTGTGTACAAGTTTCTGTATGAACATAGGTTTTCAGTTCTCTTGAGTATATACCTGGGAGTGGAATTGCTGGTTAATATGGTAATTCTGTGTTTAACTTTTTGTGGACTCATCAGACTGTTTTCTACAGGGCTGTACCATTTTACATTCCTACCTGCATTGTACAAGGGTTCCAATTTCTCCCCATCCTCTCCAACACTTGTTATCATGGCCATCCTAGTAGGTGTGGAAGGACTATTGTGTTTTTTTTTTTTTTTTTTTTGGCTGTGTTAGGTCTTCGTTGCTGTGCGTGGGCTTTCTCTAGTTGCGACGAGCAGGGGCTACCCTTTGTTGTGGTGCATGAACTTCTCATTGCAGTGGCTTCTCTTGTTGCACAGCACAGGCTCTAGGCGCGAGGGCTTCAGTAGTTGTGGCACATGGGCTCAGTAGTTGTGGCTCGCGGGCTCTAGAGTGCAGGCTCAGTAGTTGTGGTGCATGGGCTTAGTTGCTCTGCGGCATGTGGGATCTTCCTGGACCAGGGCTTGAACCCGTGTCCCCTGCATTGGCAGGCGGATTCTTAACCACTGCGCCACCAGGGAAGTCCTGTACTATTGGTTTTTGATAACATACATAAATCAAAGATAAACATAGATAAAATATTGCTACAAACTTGGTGGGGGAATTAATGAGCGTAATTTTATATGTTCTAGGAGGATGGACTCAGGCAAGTTCTGGAGGAGATGAAAGCTTTATATGAACAAAACCAATCTGATGTGTAAGTTGATAAGATTGATATTTTAAAACAATTTAAGAAATATTATATTGAAATCAGATAATCTTAACATTAGTTTTAATTTTTTTAATTTTTTATTATTTTTAAATTAATTTATTATTTATTTATTTATTTTTGGCTGCGTTGGGTCTTCATTGCTGTACGCGGGCTTTCTCTAGTTGCGGCGAGCGGGGGCTACTCTTCGTTGTGGTGCATGGGCTTCTCATTGAGGTTGCTTATCTTGTTGCAGAGCACAGGCTCTAGGCGCGCAGGCTTCAATAGTTGTGGCTTGCGGGCTCTAGAGTGCAGGCTCAGTAGTTGTGGCGCACAGGCTTAGTTGCTCTGCGGCATGTGGGATCTTCCTGGACCAGGGCTTGAACCCATGTCCCCTGCATTGGCAGGTGGATTCTTAACCACTGCGCCACCAGGGAAGTCCCAACATTAGATTTTAGATATGATTTGTTTTTTCTAATTCTCTGTGAGCCTGATCATACCCTAACTATACAGAACTAGAGGGATTTGTGTTAATCACTGCTATGTCCATGGGGATTCAAACAGTGCTTGGCATATGGTAGATGTTCAATAAATATTTGTTGTTTGACTGATATGACTTGAAATGAATCGGGGTGGACCTAAAAGAGATGAGACAGGAGTAAGTAACAACCTTAAGTGAAATGTATTGTTTCCACTGCTTGTTTTCATCAGTAGAAGACTTAGTGGGTTAAAAGGAGAACAGGCAGTTTGTAAACTTAGCAGGAGCAGCAGTGACTTACAATATCTTGAATGGAGTTCACTGAGAACTAGTGCTACAGAAGGCTTGGTAGGTGAGAGGGTTCTTGAGTTACAGACTATTTAGAGCCAAGCATGGTAGTTGACCCAGTGGAGAATTTGGGCTGAATGACCAACTTCACAGGGTCCTGTGATTTGGTGAAGAGTAAGACACAGAGTACTAACTGCTGGATCAAAGGCGAGGTCTTCAGATCTCAACCTGTCTGCAACATGAGGTTTCATGTTTGGCCTTGTTAGGGAGTGTTTTCATCAGTTAGTTGGACATAGAAATCAGTACTATGCTGTTAGGGTTTGTGGAGTACACAGAACAGTAGGCACGTTTTGCAGTTACTGTATTTAAGGATAGATACAGATGGAACAAGGAACTGAACTGCAACAGGTCTGCAGTAAATGTAAGGGAAATGTAAAGTCCTGAACTGAGGTTCCCAAACTGTTCATTTGTTCATTCAGCAGATATGTACTAAACAATTATGAGCTGATAAATGGCTCTGGTATTTCAATTGTGAACAACATAATCAAGATTTTTGCCCCCATGACCCTCACAGTGTAAGGCAGAAGGCAGATATTAAATACAGATACACCAAGTTGGAATACATGCTATGAAGGAAAACAACAGCACTAGGAGAGAGAATAATGAATTGAAAATATTAGTAGATTGAGGAATCAGGGAAGTTCTCTCCAAGGAAGAGACATTTCAGCTGGGGCCTGAAGGAGAAGCAGGTTTTAGCGAGGCAGTAATTGGGGCAGAGAGCATTCTACGTGGAGGAAACAGCATATGCAAAGACCCTGAGTCATGAAAGAGGATGGGATGCTCAGGGAACTGATCATTAAAGAAAGCCAGTGTGGCTGAAACTTAGTGAGCAGGCAAAGGGTGACACCCGGTGAGATTTTTAAGCATGTGGGGCAGGTGGAGGCATGTTTGTGTTTTAAAAGACCACCCTGGCTGCTGCTGTGGTTAGTAAATGGAGGGGCTGAGAGGATAGGGAGGCATGCTGGTCATGCAGGTGGCAGGAGAGGTAAGCCAGACTAGGGAGAAAGTGAACAGTTTATAGACATATTTAGGAGGTGGCCTAACAGGCCTTGGTCCAGTAAGAGGATGATTTTCCTGTATTCATACCATCTGGAAATTCATGATCCAAAATTCTGTGCCCTATCCTCCTAGTTTGGTTCTCGGGGGTCAGTCACTATTACCAGTTTCTGGTTAAAATTATTTGTCAGAAGAACTCTGTTCCTATTTAATTACTCATGTGTAAATGTGAGTTTTTTAAGGAAGTTCTTATATACCTAATAAAGTACTCTGATGTTAGGTTGGCTGTATTTTATTTGTGCTATTTCTTTATAATCCAGAGCACATTGTAAACAGTGTGGAGAATAGGGAATTCCCTGGTGGTCCAGTGGTTGGGACTCTGCGTTTCCACTGCAGGGGGCACGGGTTCGATTCCCGGTTGGGGAACTCAGATCCTGCAAGCCTCTTGGTGTGGCCAAAAACAAAAAACAACAACAAAAAAATGTTGAGAATATATCTAACGTTTGTAGAGTGGCAGAAGTGTATAGAACAATCTGGAAGACATGGTAAAATGGGACATATATTTTACCTCTATTTTCAGGGCCTGGAGCAGGCACGTATATTTTGTATTTGTTTCCTTTTAAAACTCCAGAGTAGATTCTAATTAATTCTGTATACCTGGCTTTGTTTTGTTTTGTTTCCAGTTTTTTCTTTTTATTATGGTAAAATACACATCACATAAAATTTGCTATCTTAACTTTTTTTTTTTGGCCACACTGGGGGGCATATGGGATCCTAGTTCCCTGCCTCCTGCCCTGCAGTGGAAGTGTGGAGTCCCAATTACTGGACCACCAGAGAAGTCCCCAATCTTAACCATTTTAAAGCGTACAGTTCAGTGTATTCAGTACATTCATAATGTCATATAGCCATCACCATCATCTCCAGAACTCTTCATCTTGTAAAACTGAAACACTATACCCATTAAACAATTGTACATTTGGTTTTATTTTATTTTATTTATTTATTTATTGGCTGTGCCACAAGGCTTGTGGGATCTTAGTTCCCTGACTAGGGATTGAACCTGTGCCCTCAGCAGTGAAAGTGCAGAGTCCTAACCACTGGAGCACCAGGGAATTCCCAAACATCTGGTTTTAAAGTGCAATACTCTTCTAATAACCAAGGAGATATATATTTTATAGGGTAAAACCAAAATTTTCTCCCTTTCTGTGTGAAGGACCCTAAAGTACAGAACATGCACATTGTTGAAGATCAATAAATATTTGTTGGATGAGTGGAGGACCACCTGACTCCAGAATTCTTAGCTCACATTATTAGAATGAGGATTTGGAAGTACCACAAAAAGAGGACTCCATAGGATCAGAACATGATGTGAGGCCATAATCTTATGCACCGTGATATTCGATCTGTCTCTTATCCCACCATGAAAAAGGGATTCCAAAAAGTGAGGAAACACAATATTTGTCTTTTGGAGACAATGGAGATTAATCAGTGTGCAAAATGCAAAGTGCCACATGGCTAAACAAAACACTGGGAGTGTGATCCTAGGCAAATTAGTTAGCTTTTGGCTTTTTTAATCTTTTAACATGTTAGCAAAAGCTCTGATGAGACAGGTACTATTTGGGTAGGTTAACTGCTAACATAAATGGATAAAAACAAGCATGGAGTCACTTGTTAGTTGGCTTGGAAAATTCGACATATACTGAAATAGACATTCTTTTCCTCCTCAAATGTTTTACCAGGAATGAAGCGAAGTCAGGTGGACGAAGTGATTTGATACCAACCATCAAGTTTCGACACTGTTCTTTGTTAAGAAATCAGCGCTGCACTGTAGCATACCTGTGAGCTTCTCTGTGTTTGCTGGGGTGGCAGGGAGCAGTGGAGGATTCCCATATGGTTTCCTAATTAACCATTTTATATGGATAACAGGAATTCTTAGATTTGTCTCTCTTTTATGAGCGTTCTAAATTCTTCTCTTTTTTCTATTTAAACTTTTTTTGTAATGAAAAATTGCAGTATTCATAAAATTAGGGAATAATATTACAAACCCCCATGGAGCCATCAGGTAGGCTTAACAATTCTTAACATTTTGCCATAATTGCTTCATCTTGTTTTATTTATCTATGCTAAAACATTGTAGAACATCGGGCATTTTACTGCTGAATACCTTAGTATGCATCTCTAAGAAATAAGGACCTTATGGACTTTTTCTTACATGACCACTATGATTCTCATACCTAGAGGAATAAACCCGACTTCACAGCATCCATCCATACTGTATTCCTATTCTCCCTGTTTTCCCAAAGATGTCCTCTTACAATGGTTTGTTTGCCTCAGGAACCAAATAAAAGTCCACATGTTAAATTTTGGTGGTTGAGTCTGGAGTCTCTTTTGATGAAAACAACTTCTGATATCCCTCTGTTATGCCATCTAATACCTTATTAATGTCCTAGGTATGACCGATTGCTTCGGATTAGAGCACTCAGGTGGGAATGTGGCAGTGTCTTGCCAAGTGCTTTACGATTTCACATGTCTGCTGAAGAAGTAAGTCAGCATTGTTGTTCAAGTTTGTGAATTTGGAAAATAGCTGAGGTTATGGCAGTGTTCTGAAATAGTATTTATAGTGTTTCAAAAATCTTTTTGTTTTAACATTTGTTTTTGAGTAATTTTTGGTCTCTAGTATATACTGTGATGAGAATGATAGGAGTAATTCTAAATGCTATATGGAAAACTACTATTACTTAACAAAATAAAGGGTCCCATTATGTTACTTGTTAGTGATCCATCAGTAGGATGAAAAACCTGGCATTATTATTGGGAGATTTTCCATAAAATATGTGGGTATACATAATTTGCTTATCAATGTGAATACTTGAATTCTTGATTTATCCAGTCATTAAGGGACAATATTTAAGGACACAGGATTGGAGCCAAGCAAACCTGTGTACAAACCTTGGCTCTGCCACTGTCAGATCTTGGGCAAGTGACTCGACCTCTCCCTGTGCCTAAATTCCCTCATTTACAAAGTGAGGGTCATACTGCCTACAGTGTTGCAGTGACTTCGGACACTACCTAAAGTTAGACCAAACTTCATAGGTTAAGACTGCTCTCACTTCAGATACCAGCCGTAAAGTTTGAGGTTCCCAAGGCCACCCTCCCTTCTGACCAACTGGCTACAAATTCAGAGGTTCCCACCATCCCCTCAGGTTTGGGGCTTTTATCCTCTTGATATTAGTCCAACTTGGAGAGAGGAGAGGGGAGCTGGAAGTAGAGCTCAGTCACCTGTGATTCAATCAACCATGATTTGATCAATCGATCAAGCCTATGTAATGATACCCCAGAGCTGTGTGAGCTTCCCTGGTTGACAGTACTTTGTGTGTGTTGTTACATATCAGTGTGCCAGGAGGGTGGTGTGTCCTGATTCCTCAGGGAGAGGATACTCGAAGCTTCACATTTGGGACTCCCAGACCTCATCCTGGGTGTCTCTTCCTTTGGCTGGTTCTGATTTGTATCTGCAATAAAACTGTAATTGTCAGTGTAGTGCTTTCCTGGGTTCTGTCAGTCATTCTGGCAGATCATTGAACCTGAGGGAGAGGTGTGTGTATGTATGCGCACACACACACTTTACTAATGCAGGTTATGTGTATAGTCTTTTAGAAGTTATCTTGTTTTACCTTTCACAAAGAGATTTACAGTACTGGAATAGATTTTTGTGAATAATGTAAGAGCCTAGTTGCATTTTGAATATGGATATTGAGATGGCATCATTTATTGAAAAGGTCCTCTTTTCCCCTTGCTCTGTGCACAGTGCCACTTGTCATAAATTGAATGTCAATATATCTGTGGATTTTGGATGGGGGACTTTCTCTTCTTTCTTAGTCTATTTGTCCTTGTACCAATTTCATATTGTTTAAATTATTGGAATTTTATAATAAGTCTTGAGTAAGTGTTCCCATCTTGTTCTTCTTTTTCAATGTCTTCACTGCTTTTGGCCTTCTGCATTTCCTTGCAAATTTTAGACTCAATTTATCAAGTTCCATTTTTTAAAAAATTGGGGTTTTGATTGAGATTGAATTGGATCTATGGATCAGTTGATGTTATTACAATACTGAATCACCCAATCCTTGAAAGTGGTATATCCTTCCACATATTTTGGTTTTCTTTAACTTCTCTCAACAATTAAAAAAAAAACCAGATTTACTGAGATATAATTTACATCCCCTAAAGTTTATCCTTTTAAAGTGTACAATTCAGCGTATTTAGGATATTCACAGAGTTGTGCATCCGTCACCACCATCTTATCCAGAACATATTCTGTCCCCTCTTCCCAGGCCCTAGAGGCCACTACTCTGCTTTCTTCATGGATTGGCCTAGTATGGACTTTTCATATGAGTGGAATTGTACAATATGTGGCCTTTTGTGTTTTTCACTCAGCATGTTTTCAAGGTTCATGCATGTGGTAACACATATAAGAGCTCCACTCTGATTTACGACTGAATAATCCCATTGTAGGGATGTACACATCTTATCCATTCATCAGTTGATGGACATTTGGGTGTTTTTCTCAACAGCATTTTATAGCTTTCAGAAAACCTGTCAATACAGAGTTTGAAGTTTGAAGAGATCATAATTCTGAAATGGTGTATTTTTCATGGTTTGGTTTCTGGTGGAAAGTTCCTTAGGGCTGTGATTAAGTATGCTGGGATGTAAGTTCTGTGAGAACAGAGATGTTTGTTCACTTTGTTAAATGATCCTAAGTACCTAGACCAGTGCCTGGTTCATAACAGGCAGTCACTAATATTTGTGGTTTGAATGAATGGTCATAGTAATGATCCATGTGGGGATGTGTGCTGTTTTTGAAAGGATTAGTATATAATTTCTGCAAGTTTGTTTTCTTACAGCTTTGTCAAATGGCCATCTTTATGTTTGTAGATGGAATGGTTCAATCATTACAAAAAGTCCCTTGCTACCTACATGAGGTCGTTGGGAGGACATGAAGGTTTGGACATCACACAGGATATGAAACCTCCAAAAAACCTATACATAGAAGTAAGTATACCTTTTTAAAATGGATTTTTCTTTAATGCATAGACTGTGATGACTTTTGTTTAAGGGGTGATGTGGCACACATATATACAGTGGAATATTACTCAGCCATAAAAAGAAATGAAATTGAGTTACTCGTAGAGAGGTAGATGGACCTAGAGTCTGTCATACAGAGTGAAGTAAGTCAGAAAGAGAAAATCAAATACCGTATGCTATCACATATATATGGAATCTAAAAAAAAGGTTCTGAAGAACTTAGGGGCAGGACAGGAATAAAGATGCAGACGTAGAGGATGGACTTGAGGACACAGGAGGGGGAAGGGTAAGCTGGGACGAAGTGAGAGAGTGGCATGGACATATATACACTACCAAATGTAAAATCGATAGCTAGTGGGAAGCAGCCACATAGCACAGGGAGATCAGCTCGGTTCTTTGTGACCACCTAGAGGGGTAGGATAGGGAGGGTGGGAGGGAGACGCAGGAGGGAGGAGATATGGGGATATATGTATATGTATAGCTGATTCACTTTGTTATAAAGCAGAAACAAACACACCATTGTAAAGCAATTATACTCCAATAAAGATGTAAAAAAAAAAAAAAGAGGGCTTCCCTGGTGGCACAGTGGTTGAGAGTCCGCCGGCCGATGCAGGGAACGCGGGGTTGTGCCCCGGTCCGGGAAGATCCACATGCCGCGGAGCGGCTGAGTCCGTGAGCCATGGCCGCTGAGCCTGCACGTCCGGAGCCTGTGTTCCGCAACGGGAGAGGCCACAACAGTGAGAGGCCCGCATACCGCAAAAAAAAGAAAAGAAAAGAAAAGAAAAGAAAAGAAAAGGGGTATATGAATATATATTAGTTTATACAGGCATACCTTGGAGATATCATGGGTTTGGTTTAGGACCCACAATAAAGTGCATATTCAATAAAATGAGTCATGAAATGTTTTGGTTTCCCAGTACATATAAAAGTTATGTTTGCCCTATAGTGTAGTCTGTTGAATATGCATTAGCATTATAATGCTAACCATCATCTGACAATGCAGGGTTGCCACAAACCTTCAATTTGTAAAAAGGGCAATATCTGAGAAGCACAATAAAGCAAAGCACAAAAAAGAAAGGAAACAAACTCAAACCAAAAATTTTACCTGTAGGTGGTGGCAGGAATAGGATGGAACAGCTAAAATTTTCTGACTGTACCTGTTTTAAAATTTTAACTTTGGAACCATGTAAATATTTTACATATTGTTAAAACAAAATGAAATCAAAGTGGAAAACCAACTTATACATTTTGAAAACAAAATGAAACAAATGAACCTGTGTTTTCATGTTGGTAGATTAGTCAAACAGTGGTTATTTAAATTACTTTAAAACACATAGATTGATTGTATTTCCCTAGTAGGTACATACGAAGGATGAAAAGAATTACAAAGAAATCTTAACCTGTTTTTAGTAATCATATTATTCGTAATAATGTTATTAGTAATAATATTCCTAAGAATAATATAATATTCTTTAATAAACAGTTTATATATTGAAGAATAGAGCAAAAAAGTAATAGCATGGACTCATGTTGAATCATCTCTTCTAAAGAAGCATTTCTTAGCTCTGTCCACTGAAAAGGCCTAGAAACAAGGACCAACCCAGTAGCCATGAGCATCCACATTCTTGAGTCTACATGCCATTTCCTGTGAAAGGAAACCAGGACTCCTGGGGGGAAAATGGCCGATTCCAGGGCTCAAATAGATTAAAGATGTACAAGCGGAGCATGGAAAGAAAGAAAGTATCAAGGACTAGAAGGGGAGTGCTGAAAAGACTTGGGAGCTGATTCGAAGGAGCTCTCATTAGCCAAAGAAAGGACAGTTTGAGCATCAAAATGATAAACTGCAGTGAATTGCATCACATCAATCAAATCAATGACACCTAACAACAACAGTTTTAAAACTGAAACCTCTTTGGGTCTCCTTGGAGAATATGAAGGATGCAACTCATTTTGGAAAATGGTAAATGAAAGAATGGAGTCAAGCATCCATCTTCCGTTACTGCACAAATTCTATCTCAGGGTAGCCAAATTGTTTACGAGGGAAATCTCTTTTGTATAGAAGAATTCCAGCTAATAAATGCAGAAGGAATAAAAAAACTACATTAATGCCATTTTGTAGCCCTAATGCATGGAGGCAAGTAGCTGCTAAAGCATTAGGTGAAAAGCTTAAGAGAGACCTTAGTAGTGGATGGGTATGGATAGCACCTAGGCCCATTGATCAATCTTAACATCCAAAAAGGGACACCAGGATTTCCCTGGTGGCGCAATGGTTAAGAATCCGCCTGCCAATGCAGGCGACAGAGGTTTGATCCCTGATGCAGGAAGATCCCACATGCTGTAGAGCGACTAAGTCTGTGCAGCTAAGCCTGTGCACCACAGCTACTGAGCCTGCCCTCTAGAGCCCACACGCCACAACTACTGAGACCACATGCTGCAACTACTGAAGCCTGTGTGCTCTAGGGCCTGTGTGCCACAACTACTGAGCCCATGTGCTTCAACTACTGAAGCCCGCACTCCTAGAGCCTGTGCTCTGCAACAGGAGAAGCCAACCGCAATGAGAAGCCCATGCACTGCAACTAAGAGTAGCCCCCGCTCGCTGCAACTAGAGAAAGCCCGCACGCAGCAATGAAGACCCAACACAGCCAAAAAAAAAAAAACAAAAAAACCCAAAAAACAAAAAGGGACACCAGACATTTTGTGCTTCACAACATCATAACACCATTTGCCAGAAAACTAAACCTGATCTGATCCAGCCCCTACACCTAACTTCCAGTTTATAGGAAATTCAGGGATGGGGGAACATGTTAAATGACCCCACAGGAGTCCACAACAGAATCTATTTTTGGGAAACTACCAAACTGCCCAGTTTCTTTAACAAGTAAGCTGCCAAGGGAAAGGGGAAGGGGGAGAACCCTGTAGATTAAAGGAGACTTGGAGACATATCAGAAATGTGTAATGTGTAGCTCTTGTTTGACTCTCATTTGAGCATGGCAACTTAAAAAAAAAATTAATGTGACAAAATGGGGAAATTTGGATTCTAACTGGGTATTTCATAATATTAAAAATTTATTAATAAGGTGTGATAATGGTATTGGGATTTTTTTAAACAATCTTATTTTATAGAAATAAGCACTAAAATAATTATAGATTAAATGAAATGATGTCTAGGATTTGCTTCAAAATAACCCAGAAGTGGGCGAGGGAACAAGATTGGCCACATGTTGATAGTAGTTGAAGCCAGTTGGTGGGACATTGAGTTTATTAGCCTTTTTACTTTTCAATGTGTTTGAGATTTTCCACAATAAAAGTCTATTTAAAGAAGCAAAATGCTGGTGGTGGGGGGGGATTTTTCTTGTATTTCTCAAACCAACTTAAAATACTTTTGGGAGTCATGGTAGGATTGCAGAGGAATCACAGGACATGAAATTATCCAGGAAAAGTAGGAATCAGAGACTTGCCATTGGAGTTGGCTTTGCTAACACCAGTGCTAGTACTCTGGAGAATAAACTGAGGTCTGAACTCTCATAGGAGATGAAAATGCCCTCCCGCCTTTCCTGTGGCAGCACTTGAAGCTGAGCCAGGTCTGAGATTTCTGGGGCTAGCTTTGAATGTTCCTTCTTTGCAATTGCAGAAGTGGTTATCAGGCTCCTTACCCCTCCCACCTTCCAACTAAGAGCCTCTCCTGATTCATGTAGCATGAGTCTATATCTTTTCTTTCCTAGTGTGCCTCTAAGTAATACTGGGAAAGAGTCTGAATCAATCAGTCAAAGGAGACTGGCAGAATCTGTAAAACAAATCTTATAGACTTATGTCCTGTTCTCAGATATTGATACTTTATGGGAGGAATCTGTAAGAGGCAGGTTGGGGTAGATCTAAAATGTTCTCTTTTCTTTGTAGATATGGGTTTTTTTTTTGTTTTCTTTTTAATTTTATTTTTGTCTGTGTCAGGTCTTAGTTGTGGCACGTGGGATCTTCGTTGAGGCATGAGGGATCTTTCGTTGTGGTGTGCGGGCTTCTCTGTAGTTGTGGCGTGCGGGTTTTCTCTTCTCTGGTTGTGGTGCATGGGCTCTAGCGTATGTGGGCTCTGTAGTTGTGGCGCAGGGATCCAGGGCCTGTGGGCTCTGTAGTTTGCGGCTCGCGGGCTCTAGTTGAGGTGCGCAAGCTCAGTAGTTGTGGTGCGTGGGCTTAGTTACATGGGCTTAGTTGCTCTGTGGCATGTGGGATCTTAGTTCCCTGACCAGGGATTGAACCTGCGTCCCATGCATTGTAAGGCGGATTCTTTATCACTAGACCACCCTGGAAGTCCCTGTAGATGTGTTTTCAACTGCTTGATTTTTCATAATTTGCAGAGGGAAAACAATCCAGTGACATTGTCTCTTTTTGGCAGCTCCTTAGGTTTCCTTGCTGTCAGTGCTGACATACACATATTTTCGGAGATTTGCCATTTTTCTTCCTCCCCGTCAAAACAGGACCATTGGAACCACTAGAATACCACAGGAAGGAGTACTAGGCCTAAGTACACAGAGAAGAAATAAAGAGAAAGCCTAATACTTTTCATATGGGTATATATAAATCCCCATCTGCTTTATGGTTTCTACATATTAAAAAGTAATTTGGATAAAACATCAGTTTTTCTTTTCAGGTGCGGTGTCTAAAAGACTATGGAGAATTTGAAGTTGATGATGGTACTTCAGTCCTATTAAAAAAAAATAGCCAGGTATTTATTGTCTTAAGATACTTTAAATTTTGTAAGAGTGTTGAATAATGAAAATGTTGGAATCAGTAGCAAGGTAAGTATCACCTTGTGATGATCATTTGTATCGTAGGAATTATGTTTATTATAAAATACTCTTTTGTCCTTTTTCTAAATGTAAAGGCGTGAAGCAAACGTTGCATATAGTAAGAAAGGGTTAATTACAGTTGACCCTTGAACAATGCACAGGGATTAGGGGTGCCTACAGACTCCCCTCTCCCCACACAGTTGGAAATCTGAGTACTTCTCTCTGCCTCAAAAACAAAGGGATTGATAAATGACTCACCCAAAGGCTGGAAGCTAAAACAGTTTGAATAGAATTAGGACCCAAGCCCTAGTTCTTTTGATCCCACCTGTTGTGATCTCTAATTGAACACGAACTTTTCCCCATACTTAGTCAATTTAAAGATCTGTAAAATGAAAATACAGGTTTTATATATGTGTGTGTGTGTGTGTGTATATATATATATATATATATACGCATATTTGAGTGGAGTCATGCAGTTCAAACCCATGCTCAAGCATTAGCTATAATTTACTAGGGTATTGCTTGAATTTAATACTAAGCATTTCCCTGGGAAGTTGCCACAGTGGGTCTTACTCTAGTTAAGGGGCTACTATGTTGTTGCATTTAGCTCCTTTCTTCAAATTATTATTTATTAAAAAGGTGCTAAGCACTAGTTTTCAGCCTATACTTCTTCACCTTGTAAATCTTAGTTCTTTAGCTAACAAATAGTGATATGTATCAAAAAATTTCTAAGTATTTAATATATAAACATAATAGAATTTAATAGGGAAAGACTGAAATTGTGAAATTGTAACTCACTAAATTTTTCCTTACGAAGAATCTCAATTTATTGTTTCCTTAGAAATCTTCAAGTTCACATTAGATGAATTCACAGTAGCTAAATTTATTTTATCCTATCTCTATTTTCTGTAGTCATATTAGCATAGGAGGAAAGGTGAACTAGTAAAAACCACTCTTTCCTTTGTTGCCTGCCATCTTGTTATGAGACGGTCGGTATTTAATGACCCTAGTCACTTTTGTTGACTTCTGTTTGTTCTGTTGAGCCAAAGAATCGTTCTGGTTATGTGGTTCTTAGCTCATTTCCCTAAGGGAGGGTGAGTTGGTCTCTTATTTTACTAGTACCCTTGGAGTTTTAAATAGTTTCCTGAAACAAAAGTTGAAATTATTAAAGACAGATTTTCAGGGTACCCTAAAATCTTTGGTTGTTAAGGCAAAAGTTTCCCTTCCAAGGATACTAATGAATAGAAAATAGATGGTGAAGCTCTGGGTTCACAAGAACAAAGCTAGCCTCATAAAGCAAGATGTGAGAAAATGCACTTCACCCCAAACAGTGTCCCATGGTTGAATTTCTTTCTCGAGCTTTGTGGCCAGTCTTCCCACCAGGTGTACTAAGACTGGTCAGCAGGGAGGGGCTGGGTGGGGCCAGGGCGGCTGAAACCCAGTCCCTCCTCCATCTGCTGCTGTTAGACGATTGCTGTTTACTGTGTGGCGCGTTCAGAAGCCTTCCTCTTAATGAGACTTTGTCTCTCAGTATCACCCTATAAAAATGGGGAAACTTAAAAGCAAAATCTACTCTAACTGATATTAAGGGGCTTCTAAGATGTCTGAGCACATCTGAAACCAGTTTTCTATAAAATCTATAGTGTAGATCACCCACATAATATACAATATTAATAGGGAAACATTTTCCTACTGTACATTCCTTTATTATTGAGTCTATGGCAAGCATGCTGGTTGTCCAGAAATCAGAACTCCCTCTTTTTAGTAGATATTGGAATAATTGTTAAATGAGCAACTCTATAGTTTTTTCTCTCTCTCTTTATTTTTTTTTACATTTTATATTCTTAAGGCTTTTTAAAAATTCGGTTAAATTAGACAACAGTCCTTGGCCCATGGGTCTTCATGACTGGTTTGGAGGAGTTTCTTTGGTCATGGGTCTCACCTGAGGCCTTTCCACTTCCTTGAATACTTTGCATACTCTCTCCTTCAGTTACTTTCTAGGGTCACCTACACTGCACTTTCTAATGTACTGTTTCTTGTTTTTACCCAAGTATCTCTGTCTCGTCTTTGAGATTTCTTTGGTCACTTGTGAGCTTGGAAAGTCTTCCTGCCTCACTTCCAGCACCTCCCCGCTCCAGAGTTTACTAAATGTTCACTTTTGTTTTAAGCCCTGGTGTTTTGAGAGGGAATCAGACAAGGAGACTCCTTTCCACCTCAGAATGAGAGCAGTGTCCTCTCAGGAGACGTTGAGGATGAGCCTTAGCCAGGCACTGGCATCCTCCACACAGCGTGTGACCAGCACCCATGTCATAGGTTACAATGACTTTTAATCCTTGGAAAATATGGGAGAAGAGTTGCATTGTTAGTAGAAGAATGACTGTTCAGACTCAGATCCTAGAAAAGGTTTAATGGAGAAGACACTCCTTCCGTTTGCCTTCCTAATGAGCTGTTGCTGTACCACTGGTGATCCAGTGCCCCAAATCTCACCTACCTGGGTTTTCTGTGCATAAATTTTTTTTTTCTTTTTTTTTTTTGCGTTACGCGGGCCTCTCACTGTTGTGGCCTCTCCCGTTGCGGAGCACAGGCTCCGGATGTGCAGGCTCAGTGGCCATGGCTCATGGGCCCAGCCGCTGCGTGGCACATGGGATCCCCCCGGACCGGGGCACGAACCCGCGCCCCCCGCATCAGCAGGCGGACTCCCAACCACTGTGCCACCAGGGAAGCCCCTGTGCATAAATTTTAAAATGCAAACATTAAGGAAAATACCTACTAGAATTCAAAACTCTTTAGTTAAATTTAACTTAAGCAAAACGTGAATTTGTTTATAAAATTCAGATTTCAGTACAGCTCTAGGTGACATCCATTTCAGTTGATTAAAATAGCAAAAATACTTAAGTTTAGCTTTTAACTACTTAGCTGGTGGAGTTTGAAATATATGTATAATGCGTTGCTGCTTTTTAATGATGCATCGTGTAATTTAACATTCTTTTCATTCCTTTTTCTTCCTCCCCCTCTTCCCTCAGCACTTTCTACCTCGGTGGAAGTGTGAGCAGCTGATTAGACAGGGCATCCTGGAGCACGTGCTGTCGTGACCTCTCGCCAGATGGCTGCCAGGGCTTCCCCCGTTCGAGGCTGGACTCAACCAAGGACACTTCTCCATCTCCCTCTCCACCTCCCCCAGGCCCACCACTTTTTGGTTTTAAAATTTAGACTTACTTTAACCAGGAATGCTTGGCCAAGGAGTATGGTTTGTTTTTCTTTTTCTTTTCTTTCATTTGAACCTTAGTTTCTCTTTTATTTAATTTCCAAATATAATTCTATAACCTTTTATGGTAAACATATTTCTGAATCTATGTTGTATGCTTGCCTTTTGAAGCATCAGTTCTCAATAGAGAGTTTGAATTCTTGCCATACAGAGACTCCACATATCCAATCTGCTGTCCACAGTTCTAGAGGGAAGCCCAGGATCAAGACTCTAGCAGATTCTGTGCCCAAAGAGAGTGCTTCCTAGTTCATACGCCGCCATCTTCTCATTCTGTGCTTACAAGGTAGAGGTGGTTTATTTTTCTATTGTACAGGATTCTCCCCTTTGTGTGGTACGTTGTATCTGTAATCACAACATTCCTACAATTCCCAAAATACTATATACAGTTCCCAAAATACTATAGTGTGTTTTTGTTTAATGAAAGTAAATGATCAATATTACATTTTAATCTCTTTTAAACAATCAGGAAGTTTCACCTGGCTGTATAGGGAGATAGGAGGTCCTTGTGCATCTTGTGTTGCTGGAAGTGTGCATTGTGCGAGCCAGGGAGCTGAATTTCTGCAATTTGTGTTTCCAAATCACATGGGCAGGTGGAGCTGATGGCCTATAAAATTTTCAGCGTATTTAATGTTCAATAACATGTTAACTTATCACCTGGCTGTTAAGGAAGAAAGGAAGGACACAATGGATTTTGCCCATTTCCAGCAGTGGTGGCTGATCTGGCTCATGCGTGTCTGCGAGCTTGTGGGGTGAGCACCAGGATCTCCCCTTTGGAAAGGGAAATTGAAATTGGGGCTAGGAAAGGAACTTTGTGCAGTTTCCCCCCAACAGTCACAGTGACCAGAAAGTCACATGAAGAGCTGGTCAGCTAAGTGGAGCGCAGTTTCTGTTGCCTGATAAACTGAAAATGGCAGACATCGGAGAGGCACAGAGTGGTCTTGCCTGGTGGTCAGTGGCCTTTCCGCACCAGCCCCTCCATGACCAGTGACTAGAGCCAGTCAACATAAATCAATAAAACCTACAAAATTTTAACTTTTCAACTAGTATACATTCACTTCAAATAAGGAATATACTTATTATTTTATTCTGGGAATTAAACAGAAAAGTACAACATATATCAATAATTTACGTATAGGAATGATGCTGGGCTGTAATCTCAGGCATTCAAATTTAAAATCCAGATAAACACAGTACCTGACACTCTCTGTGCAGTTTATTTCTTAAACAGGCGAATGTTTCTGGCCAAAATTATACTCAAGAAATCAAGCTATAGAGAGGCTCTACCTAGGATGTGGATCTGCATATTTTCACAACACACGTACTTAGGTCAGTAGGCAGCCCTTGACAGACTGTTTGTTTTTGTTTATGTATTTTTATGGCCGCGCCACTCGGCTTGCGGGATCTTACTTTCCCGACCAGGGACTGAACCCATGCCCTCAGCAGTGAAAGCACAGAGTCCAAACCACTGTACTGCCAGGGAATTCCCTCATTTTTAGAAATAATTCCTCCCATCGGTTCGTAGCCACATCAGATTTTCATCTGAATCTCTGGCAATAAACAATATGGAATATTTCCCTAGTGAATGGGATGGATGACAGTTTTAACTGTCCATCAGTGGTCACTTCCTTCCCTTGCATTTTGCTCTTCCAAGCGTGTGGAACCATGTTCAGGTGATCCCAGAGTCCGTGTGAATCAGCCGTGAGGACAGACAGCAATGAAGGCCATTGCCCTGTTGCCAACCCAGCATCATTCCTGTATGTAAATTATTGATATATGTTGTACTTTTCTGTTTAATTCCCAGAATAAAATAATAAGTATATTCCTTATTTGAAGTGAATGTATGCTTGTTGAAAAGTTAAAATTTTGTAGGTTTTATTGATTTATGTTGACTGGCTCTAGAATTGTGGCTAGAATTTTTAAATATATGTTTTTTTTCTTATTATAGCGGTAATATATGCACAGTTAAAAAGGTAAAAAAAAAAATACAGTGTAAAAAATGAATACCACCATCCAGCGTGTCCACCGTTAACTGGTTACGGATATAAGTGCAATCCCATTTCTTTTTAGTGCTTGCCCAATTACTTTCTAGTTTTTGTTTCTAATATGAATGGAATCTTCTTTTCTATTATATTTTCTAATTGGTTTTGGCTGATACATATAAAAAACCTGTAAATTATGATGATTTGGCCACATTCCTATATAAACTCATTTCTTTTTCACATTGATATTGTTGTCTAGAACTGTCAGGAAAATGTTGACTACTGCTGGTAATAGCTAACAACTTATCTTTTTCCTGACTTGACTGGAATGCCACAGTCTTCTTAATCTCTCTATCCCATACTTCTCCAGGAAAACTACCAAAACTTGTGGCCAGTGCAACTTGAAACCTCAAAATAAATTTAATACCATAATAAAACAAAACAGTGGTAGTTAACAAACATGATTTTTCCAAGTACACTTGGGGAACTTAAGTGATGATCATATATGATTTCTCACTTAACTCCTTAAAGTTTATGAATTATATATATAGAATTTTATTGTTGAACTATCTTGCATTCCATTTTTAACATTCTTCTTGGCTGTGATGTGTTAACCAGTGAACTGCAGGATTTGATTTGGTGTTATTTTATTGTGGAATTTTGCAACTGTGAGTGATGCTGGTTTATAGTGTTTGGGAAGAGGGAAACGTGTGTGTCTTCACATATGTGTCTATACTTCGTCAGTGTTTTCAATAATCTGTTCCTATGAAACAGCCATCTGAACACAGAGGCTTTAAATGACACCATTTTATTAGTTCTCCCAGTTCTGTGGGTTGAGTGGGCTCAGCTGGGAGGTTCTGGAGATCTTGCTTTGTGTCCCTGATACAGTTGCATTCAGGTGGTGGCTTGGCCAGGATGGCTTGGCCTCTGGTCTCCATGTGGGCCTCTCCCGTGGTTCTCTCCAGCAAGCTGGCTGGGCTTCTCACCTGGCAGCTTAGGACACCTGCAGTGTTAAGAGGGTGGATGTGGGTGCTGCTAGTTTTCTTTCTTTCTTTTTTTTTTTAAAATTTTTTACATTGTTTTTAAAAAAAATTTATTTTTTTGGCTGTGTTGGATCTTCGTTGCTGCGTGCGGGCTTTCTCTAGTTGCGGCTAGCAGAGGCTACCCTTTGTTGTGGTGTGCTGGCTTCTCATTGCGGTGGCTTCTCTTGTTGTGGAGCACGGGCTCTAGGCATGCGGGCTTCAGTAGTTGTGGCACGTGGGCTCAGTAGTTGTGGCTTGTGGGCTCTAGAGCGCAGGCTCAGTAGTTGTGGCACACAGGCTTATTTGCTCCACGGCATGTGGGATCTTCCCGGACCAGGGCTCAAACCTGTGTCCTCTGCTTTGGCAGGCAGATTCTTAACCACTGTGCCACGAGGGAAGTCCCGCTGCTAGTTTTCTGAAGGGCTAGTCCTAGTACTGAACTAGTACCATTTCTGCCAAATCCAGTCAATTAATACAGTCATAGGCGCCCAGATTCAGTGAAGAGGCCACGTGAACCACATGAAGGCAGAATGAGAGGCCCACAGTCAGATGGGGTGTCAGTGTTCTGGTGTCTCTTTTTAGTGGTGCTTATTACTTTATCTATTTCTAATAGAAATGTACCTTTTAAAATAGCATTAATACCTATAGAACCATCTCAGTATGAGTCTTCTTTGGAGAGAGATGTTGATCTTTGATGAATTTTTTATTTTCTTTAGTTTATGGTCAAGTTTTCTACTTTTTCTTAAGTAAATTTCAGTTAATCATGTTTTTCTAAATATTTTATTCTATATTTTGAAATGTTTTGAGGAATTGTTTTCTTTTCTCTACATATGGTCATTGCTAATATGTATCTGTCTTCCCTTTTTTGTCTTATGTAACTAAAAGAAGTATCTGTGATGATAATGCATTAATCTTTTAGGATTTAGAGGAGGAAGATGTAGGTTTCAGATGATTTCAGATGATCTTTTGCTTTTCACAATTGATAGTAGTTTTGGATGAGTTGAATTTATTCTATTTTGTAACTTTAGAAAAAACAATGTTTTCATATAGTACAACATGTAATAGCAAAGAAAGCAGCCATCTGCAAGTCAAGGACAGAGGCCTCAGGAAAAACAAACTTGCTAATAACCTTGGATTTCCTCCAGAACTGTAAGAAAATAAATTTCTTTTTTTTAAGACACCCAGTCTGTAATATTTTGTTTTGGCAACCCCTGCAAACTAATAGAGGTTGTTAAATACCTTTGAGAAAAAAATCTATTGCTTTATTGATGGACACTTGAACAGTTTCCATCCTTTTGCTATTATAGACAAACCTATGTGAGTAACCTTGTACATATATCATTCTATACATATACAGCTTTGTCTGTAGGACAGTTATAATTTTGATGGCTTTTGCCACAATATGTAGGAATTAAAGTTTGTCCTACCACCAGAAATAATGAGAGTCACTCCCCACTACCCCCTTTGCTAATAGTGTGTTATTCCCAGTTTGGGGCTGTTACAAAAAAGGTGCCAGGAACATTTGCGTACAAGTCTTTTATGGACAAGTATTTCCTTTCCTCTGAGGGAAATAGCTAGGAGTAAAATGGCTGGGTCATACTGTAGGTATAATTTTAACTTTTTAAGAAACTTCCAAACTCCTCCAGGGTTGTTGTGCATTTTGCATTCACACCAGCAGTGTATGAATTCCAGTTCTTCTACATCCTCTCCAACACTTGCTACGATTAGCCTTTTAAATTTTACCCATTCTAACAGGCGTGTAATACTATCTTGTTAAGATTTTAATTTGCATTTCCCTAATGACTAATGATGTTGAGTATCTTTACATGTGATTATTTGGAATGTGTATATCTTTCGTTGGTGAGTTTGTCTAAATCTTTGTCCATTTGTTAAAAAACTAGGTTGTTTTCTTATTGAGTTTTGGGAGTTATTTATATATTCTGGATATAAGTCCTTTATGAGATATATGCTTCGCAAAGATTTTTCTCCCAGTTTGTGGCTTGTCTGTCTATTCTTTTTTTTTTTGCGGTACGTGGGCCTCTCACTGTTGTGGCCTCTCCCGCTGCGGAGCACAGGCTCCGGGCGCGCAAGCTCAGCAGCCATGGCTCACAGGCCCAGCCACTCCACAGCATGTGGGATCCTCCCGGACCGGGGCACGAACCTGTGTCCCCTGCATCGGCAGGTGGACTCTCAACCACTGTGCCACCCGGGAAGCCCCGCCTTTTTTTTTTCTTTTTAAATTATTTATTTATTTAGTTTGGCTGCGCCAGGTCTTAATTGAAGCATGCTGGATCTTTGGTTGCAGCATGCGGACTTTTTCGTTGCAGCATGCATGCGGGATCTAATTCCCTGACCAGGGATCAAACCCAGGCCCCCTGCATTGGGGGCACAGAGTCTTACCCACTGGACCACCAGGGAAGTCCCTTAACAGAATCTTTTGAAAAGTAGACATTTTTGGTTTTGATAAAATCAAATTTATTCGTGTTTTTTTATGCTTTTGGAGTCATATCTAAGAAATTTTTTTCCAGCCCAAGGTTACAAAAATTTTTTTCCTTCATCTAGAAGGAAACTTTTAGGTTTTACACTTAACTTTATGATCCATTTTGAGTTAATTTTTGTATATGGTGTAAGGTGTGGATTCCAAGGTCACGGCAGGGGTGTGGGGATGGTATATGGATATTCAACTGCTGTAGTACCTTTGTCCTCACAGTACACAAGTG